ATAAGGACACCCACACTTGTAAAAAAATGTTTTCTTGGAAGCATGCCAGCCTTCTGATCTTCCAGCTTGTGTATAAGTTCTTTCTCTGGTAAATAAATATATCAATTTCCATATTGCATTGACTGTCCTTGTCACCCAGCAATACTACTTTTGGTCATATACCCAAAAGACGCACACCACACCACAGGAGCATTTGGTCAAGTGTGTTCATAGCATTATTTGTCATAGTAGAACCTTAAAAACAACCTAGATGCCCTTAGGATGCATAAAGCAGTTGTGGTACACTTACACAATTGAGCATACTCAGTGGTAAAAGCAAAGGAAAACAAAACAAAAACCATCTTGAATATTGCAGGCAAAAGGAAGGCAGTAGGAAAAAACATCTTGAGTGAGGACTAATATGGCATATTCACTCATAAGTGGATATTAGATATTAAATAGAAACCAACCAGTCTACAGTCCACCACCCCAGAAAAGCTAGGTAGCAAAGAGGACCCTGAAGGGACATACGTGGATCTGCCTAGGAAGGGACATAGAGAAGATCTCCTGAGTAAATTAGGAGCATGGTAGAAGGTGAGAGGGGAGGAGGGAAGGGGACTGAGGAGGAGAACATGACATAATGGGGTGGTCAGTTAGGGGGAAGGACAGGGCAGGAGAGCAAGAGAGATATGCTATGACAGAGGGAGCCATTAGGGATGAGGAAGAAACCACAGAGATCCACAATTAACCACTGGCCTAAGCTTCTGGAGACCAGTGAAAGAAAGGGAGGAATGCTAATATGAGCAAAGGGGTCAAACCAGGATGGGAGAAAATCACAGAAATAGCAGACCTGAGCTAGCAGGAGCCCACTGTCTCCACACAGACAGCTGGGAAACCTGCTTAGCACTGATCTAGGCCCCTGAATGCAGTTGACCGTGGTGTGGCATGGGTGGTAATTGTGGGCCAATGGCAGTAGGAATAGGATCTATCCCTGTGCATGAACTGGATTTTTGGTGCACATTCCCAATGGAGACATACCTTGCACAGCCTAGACACAGCGGTGTGGGCCTTGGTCTAGCCTCAACTTGGTGATGTGACAGACCTCATTGACTCCCCATGGGAGACCTTACCCTCTCTGAGGAGAAGATACAAGTTGGGATGGGTAAATGTAGGAAGGAGCAGGAGGGGAGGGAGGGTGAACTGGGATTGGTATGGAAACAGAATAAATACAGATAAAAAAACAACAAAACCTCATTAAACAACACAGTTTATTTCCTACTTAACAAACACAACTCAATGATATAGGGGGTGCTAGTAGAGTTGATGGAGGTGGTCTTCTATTCTCCGTAGTGCAAGGCCGTCTCCCTTGGCTTCTGAGAATTCCTAGGCCCAAGCTGCAGAGAGCAGAGACATTAGGTGACACAAGTGCTAACAACGCTGAGAACACCTTGTCAGCCCACCTCCTGCATCTGCTGGTCTGTAATAAGAATCCCAAAGGCTTGGCTTGCCTGGCTCTGTCATCACCTAGCATCTAGAGAGGACCACCCCAGTGTTCTCAGCAGCATCACCCTGTTTTACTCTCCTGGTTTTGCCACCAGGATGCTCCTGCATGACGGTCAGGTCTTCCAAACGCTACCTGGTCCTTCAGCTAACTTTGTGCTTCTTTTTTATCACTATGCTTACTTTGGTGTCGTGTGGTGTGTGTGTGTGTGTGTGTGTGTGTGTGTGTGTGTGCTGATACACTCACCTGTAATATGTTTACAGTTGTGTGCTTGTGCATCTGTGTGCTTGTATATATCCATGTGTATTCTCTAACTTTTAAGTATGTAGCACATGTATTCCCTCAAATGTCAACTCCGAGATGCTGTACACCTTGTGTTTTGGACACAGGCTTTTTCAAGTCCAGCAAAGTTGATGCACCTGCAGCCAAGGTTGGTGGTGTTTGTGGTGGTGCACGACTTTGATCCAAGCACTTGGGAGGCAGAAGCAGGCAAATGTCAGTGAGACAAAGGCCAGTCTGCTCTAGAGAGACAGAGACAGACAGAAAAACCCTGTCTCAAAAACATAATAAAACAAAACAAAAAGGACATGCACCTGTCTCCATCTCAAGTGCTGGGGTAACAAGCCTCAGCCAGCCTGCTGGTTTTCCCTCACTTTCTGGGGAATGAACTCATATCTCACAATGAAAGCAGGCACTGTATGGACAGACAGGCACGGTCCCAGGCCTCCTGTGCTTCTGAATCTCACCCAGGTGTGGATTTCACAGTCTTTACTCACAACCCAGTCATCTCCACTGTGGAGTGCAGTCCAGGAGCAGCAGTGTGTCTATGAAATTTGTCCAGGGACATCTGAACAGCCCAGCTCTGAGAGCTATTTTGTCTGTAATCATAAATGGGAAAAAGGAATGAGAGAAGGAAGGACAAAACCATGTTAGATGTGCTTAGCAGGGCAAGCCTCCAGCCACCCCGTTCTGAAACCCACCTAAGCACCACAATCTTTTTGAAGCAGGGACTGCAGCAGATCACGTGCCCTAACAGGGAACAGGTTTAGAGAGGCCACAAGGGGGCAGCAAGACATCAGAATGTCCCTCAGCTTCAAGAGCCAGCTGCATTCTGCCTTTCTCATTGGCACAGGAGGGAGTCTCCATGCCCTCCATGCCTCCCTCCTCACTCCTCCCACATGACCAGTCGGAAGTACTCCCTGAAGAGCTCCTTAGTGCAGTGCACAGGCGATGACTCAATGCTCAGGCCAATTGCAGATGTGAATCACATCTGGATGCTCTCGTTTCATGTCTCCATGGGAAGGCATCTGATTCATGAAGAATATGAGGTTGTGATGGGCTTCCATGGCATTCTTTTCTCAGATATGGGCATTTAGATTTGGGAGTAGGGATTGCTTATTAAAAATAATGTCATTCCTCCCAGACTGGCCTCAAACTCTCTGCTTTGGAAGATGACCTTGACTGCTTCATCCACTTGTCTCTACCCCCAATATGAGGGAAGGTCCACCTGGCTGTAATTTGTGCTGGGAAAGAACCCAGGACCAAGAATCACTCTGCAGGCTGGACACACTGATCCCTAGTCCTCCTGGTCACACTCTGTTTTTAGAGAGATATCTCACACTGCCACCAAAGCTAGACTATGTCTCCTTATATTGCCCAGGCTGGCCCTGACTCTATGGCAAGTCTACAATCTAAGCCTCCAGAGTCCTGGAATTATTGGCATACTCCTTCACCCTTGCTCTGCCATCTAGTCTTAAGAGAAATCCACAAAGTGCCTAGAAATGGCAAATGGGAGGGAATGAGAACCCAGGGGCGAGGGCACTAAACCTTCAAGCAGTGGGGTTGAAGCTCCATCTTCCTACTATCATCAGCTGCTGCTGTGGACATGCACTGGAGAGTCTTCTGCCTTCCATCCTGGCCCATCCTGAGGGCTGCTGATCAGGACGGGGCTTCAAGGATACCTGGCTACACAGGTGATGACCTGGGCTGTTGCACACTGACCTGACTGTCCTTGACATGGCATGGGATGGGGACAGCTTCCTTTACCTCCCTCCCACCCAGGTCACAACTCACCAGCTTCAGAAGAAAAGTGGTGTCTGGCCACAGTTCTTTCTTTCAGTCCTTCAAAAGACTGTCAGTAGAAAGACAGGTCATCTAGAAATGGTAAAAGAGAAAATGCAGGGTAAATGGTGCAGTCCTGTAATTCCATAGGGACGACCCAGAACTCCAGATCTTCCTCAGCTACACTGAATCCCTGGATAGGCTGAGATACAGGTGTGACTCAGTTGGGACAGCTCTTGCCCAACATACAGGAAACCCTGGGTTTTTGTCCAGAGGACAAAATAAACCAGACTTGGTGGAGAATTACTGGAATCCCTGCATTTGGCACATGGAGATGGAAAGATTCAAAATTTAAGGATATCCACAACTACATGCATCACTTAAAAACAAAATCACAAAACCCAATGGGATTAGGTTCTGACCTGAAGCCCCAGCACTCAGTTGGCCAGTGGTAGGAGGCCGCCAGTCCTTGGCAGCCTGGACTGCATACAGAAAACCTGTGTCAGCATAGGAGGCGAGGGGAAAAAAGTTTCTCATTTGAGGGGACAGATAGTTATGTCACTGTGGGGTTTAAGAGTCAGGAATTTTGGAAATGACAATAAAATCCCAGGAATATAGGGTCTAGACAGTATTGAGGAAAAACAGGTAAGGCAGGATTGCGGAATTGTACATAATGAGTATGTGTGTGTCTGTCTGTTCTCACCCTTTGAGCACATGTGTAGACCAGAAATATTCATCCAGTGCTTTTACACCTTAATTCTGTTGTTTGATTTTTGAGACAGGGTGTCTCTGTGTATCCCTGGCTGTGCCTGAACATTCTGTGTAGCCCAGTCTGTAGACCAGAATTCACATAGATAAGTCTGCCCGCCCCCACAGTCCTGGGTTTAAAGGGGGCTCCAGGCCCATGGACATCCACCTTACTTCTAACATGAGGGTCTCACTGATCCCAGGCCAGCAAGCTGCCATTCCTGCTTGTCTTTTCATTCACAAAGCTCCTAGCGCCAGTGTCCACAGCTCAGCCCTCAGCTGCTCCTACTTAACAGGGCAGAGGGGTTCAGACCCCGAAATTCTGGCTTGGGAAGTTGGAGAAGAAGACGAAGATCCTGCTCCAGGTCATCTTTTCCTACAGAGCGGCCTGCCTGGGACACAAGAGACCAAGACTAAACCACAAATGCTAGCAGTGTTCCAGTGCACCTAAGGAGTTCTGAGTCAGCAGCACCACAGGGAAATAAATCCAGCCTGGACAACACAGAGCGCTCAGTCCTCCCCTGTTACAGGGCAAGACTCTGTGTGAACATTACAGCCAACACAAGAAAAGAGTTGGGGCAATACTATTCCTACCACCCAATGTGGACAGAAACAAATGTCAGAAAATCAAATGGAATTGTGCATGTGACATCTTAGCACTACTGTCAGGGAATGAAAGACAACTTCCATCTTGGGTTTTGGACAGAATGGGCTCCCTTAGCATACTTCTGTGATTCGTTTATTTTTAAGTGGGTGATTCAGGGTTTCATGTCTTAGTTATAATTTCTATATCTATTCCTGTCAATGGCAATTTTATGTTTGTATTAGTGATTGCTGTTCATGGCCTTCTTCAGGGACTAGTGATTCTTTTCAGATCCAGATTAAGACAGAGCAGCTCACCTGCATGGAGATTGTTCGTGTATAAGAAGACACACAGAGACAGAGATGGAGGCAGAGAAAGTTAAAAGAGAGAGAGACAGAGAGACAGAGAGAGAGAGAGAGAGAGAGAGAGAGAGAGAGAGAGAGAGAGAGAGAGAGAGAAGTGAAAAGTCTCACCAGGGACTCCATACTCCAGTGGATGGGGGGCAGGTGAAAAATATAGTTCTGTTACTTATATCAGAATGACAAGTCAGATCTTCCTCTCAGGCATGACAGAGTGCCCTGAGAAATCCTCCCAGGGGTGTCTGAGCAGCTCAGCCAGGTCCAGTGGCTGAGGCCAGAACAGGATCCTGGGGAGTCTCCTCTCCCAAGCTGTAGATGGTAGTTAGGAAAGTATAGGGTTGTGAGGTGCTCGCGCAACATCAGAGTACAAGAAGACACTCCTTCCTTCTCAGATTCGGTTAAAAATGTCTTTCCAATGAGCTTAGTGTTGCTCAGAGGACATGTCAAAAAAAATATGTTTCAACATGGTGGATCTCCATACGGACATGCTGGGGAGCACAGATGATGTCCGAGCAAAATGAAGATTCCAGGAACTTTCTCTTCCCGGGTTCAATTTAGGGACACGCTGGACTGACAGACCATCCACGTCAGTCACACAGACTTCCCTGTTCGTCAAGACATGACACGTTGGGACAGTCTAGGAGAAAGAGGAAACAAGATGATATCATGCCAGTGTAACTGCAGGGTAAACAGGGATGGTTTCCCGGAAGCTCTCCCACACGATGTACAAAACGCTGCTTACCTTAGGGAGAACAAGCAAGTTGAAAAGACACAGAAATGGAAGCAAACATAGCCTGGCTGAGAGCAGACTTGAACTTGCAATCAGTCACATAAATGGTACCAACCACCTCGGCAGAGAGCAGACTGTGGCTGGCACTGGGCAGGGCCTACAGCAGGTTCTGGCCCCTCTTGAAAGTTTCAGATTTTCCATGTTCAGGACACCCATCATTCCCTCACGCTGAGGCAAGTGGTGTTGAGTTCGGCATCCAGTTCTCAAAGTGAATGACGGCCTTGAAGAAGCAAGCATGGAGAGGCAGCTGGTGAGTAACTAGAGGGCAGAAGTGGTGGAGAGAGAGGAATCGGCTGCCCTTGAGTCACTCCCCAGATGAGAATTTCCAAGTTTGCTCTGTGTGGGGTCTGAGGACTCAGGTATAGAACTTGCTGTTAAGACTTTTGCGGGATTTTGCAAGTGTTTGGCAGGAGTTTGCCCTGTAGAGGATTCTAGAGGGCCGCCTGCAGGCCAGTTTCTCCACCTGAGAGCCCATCTTGGGGACAATGGGACTGGCCGACCAGTAATACTCTCCCTGCGGTGAAAAGGGTCACCCCATGGAGAAGATCATGTTCTCTGCCAGGAAACAAGGAGCCAAGGACAGTCATTACCCAGAGTGCAGTCTGTGATATTTACCCAGGCAGGGTAGACGGGAAGGGTCTATTGACCACAGCATAGCCTGGGCCACCTTTGTATCTCAGCCCTGCCCTCTGAACAAGACCCCATGTAAAGCCTACCCTTCTTGCCTAGGACTTCACCTGGTGAGAGCTGAGCTGTTCTTCCTCTGCAGAAGGAGCCTGAGGACACACTACCTCCTGGACCTCTGGCCTGGCTCTCCTGCAGGATTGTCAGCATCTCAGCCAGACCGATCCCCAACCTGTGGCTCACAAGCCACGAACATGCGTCTTGACCTCTTCAGGACTACAAAGCAGAAGGACACAGGAAGGAGACTCTTAGTGACTTTGGAACACCGAGAACTTACTGTGCTGGCCCTGCAGCACCTAAGCATCCCTCTGCCTGCTTTACCGATGCCCCCTCCTCCTGCTCTCCCTGCTTGGATCAGCCTCTCTGCTGTCCAATTCTACTTCAACAAGCCTGAGGTCACACTGGAGGGCATCCTCTGGGGCTGGTCTTTCTGAAGGAAATGGGTTGTTCAGGTCACAAGTGTGCCACCATGGAGGACCACACCCTCCCTTGGGATCGTGTCAGAGATTGGTTGGGGGACTGGAGGAATCTGGAGAAGAGGGGAGGGGAAGGGAGGGAGCTGTGATTGACATGTGAAATAAACTTGTTTCCAACTTCAATAAAAATAAAGGTAGAAAAAAAAGTGGGCCACAAAGTGGGGACAGTCATCCTTTGTCACAAAGGACAGGAGGCAAAGAATGAGGAAACTGAACTAAGTGTCCCCACCTGGTTCTGTGGGTGACTGCAGGATCCCGTTTCTTTGGAGCCAGGTTCTCGAAGGAGTCTCCGCTTCTCCTGGCAGGTGGCAGGCAGCAGCACAGGTGTCTGAGGCAGTTCACCATTGTTTTCTTGAAGCTCTTCCACCTGTGGCGCCTCCGGTTTTGTGAGGAAGCCTGGCCGGCAACCTCAGGCTGGCCATGGGTGATGGCCTCCTCCTCTGTGACGGTGTCATCCTGAGTCATGGTCACGGCCTGGGTCCTCCTCACTTCCAGGGTGACAGTTGCTTCCTGAAGGATGTCCTCATGCTTCACGATGGTCTCTTCCTCAATGTGAGACATGGTCGCTCCATTGACCATGGTTATTTCTTCTGTGAGATTCCCATCCTGAGTCATGGTCACTTCACGTGTCATGTCCTCTTCCTGGGCTATGGTTGCTTCTTTTGTGGTGGCTTCTTGGTGGGTTATAGTCACTTCCTCTGTGATGGACACTTCCTGGGTTATGGTTGTTTCTTGCGTGATGGTACCTTCCTCATTCATGGCCTCTTCCTGTGTGATATGTACTTCCTCACTAATGTCTTCTTGTTGTGTCATCCCCAGTTCCTCATGGTACCTCCCCGAAGGTAGGCTGCCTGTGTCACCTGTGGTCTCATTGTGGTCTGGCCAAGAATAATCAGTGTACATTGGCACCGATGATGAGTGGATACTGTCCATAAGGCAGCCGCTTGACCAGATCATTGACTGAGAGGAACTCTCGCTCATTTCTTCCCTACTGTACATGAGGAAAAGAGCAGGACGCCTGTTCGGGTAGTCTAGGTGGGGAGATTGAGGCCTCTCTGAGTGTCGGAACAGAGTGGCAGGCATGCTATGCCTTGTGCCAACCTGCCTGGTATTCTTCTCATGCTCTCTCTCCTGAGGATTGGATGACAAGGAGAAGGCCATGCGAGCAGGCTCAGTAGCTCTCCTTAGGGGCACAGGGAAGGTGTGAAGATCTGTCAGGTTAAGGACAAGGCCTGGCTGCATGGCTCTCAACTGGTGATGGTAGCAATCTCCCGCAGGAGACTGGTTTTGGAGAGGGTAAGTGGCCATCCCCTGGTTGTAGTTTTGTTCTCTAAGAGAATCAATCGTTTCCTCAGACTTATACCCCATGGCCGTCATGTTGCTGACAATGCTAGTGCTCAGGGTGCCCGGGAGTCTCTGTGTGGAAGTAGGAGGACAACGCACCTTACTGTCCCTGATCATGGGGCGCCTCATGATTTGGTCCACAGGGGGCCTCCTGCCCGGGTTGATCATCAGCATTTCAACGATGACATTGAAAATATCGGTGGAAACGTGCTGAGGAATGCTGAAGTTTGCAGCAAGGATCCGAAGCCTCACACCGTCATAAGAGCTGCCCCGGAAGGGAAAGCGCCCAACCACCATGAGGAAGAGGAGCACGCCTAGACTCCACACATCAATGGCGTACCCATCATAGGGCTCCTCTGCAAACAGTTCTGGGGCACAGTAGACTGGAGTGCCACAGAAGTCTTTCAGCAACTGCCCTGGGGACACTTTGGCTGCAAGGCCAAAATCACAGAGTTTGGCGTTACCAGAGCTGTCCAGTAGGATGTTATTGGCGTTAATGTCCCTATGGGCAATATGGTTGCTATGGCAGTACTCCACTGCAAGGAGTATCTGGGTAAAGAGCCTCCGCACCTCGCTCTCCTCTAAGGACCCCCGATCCACAATGTGTCCAAAAAGATCTCCCTTTGGTGCGTGCTCCATAACCAAGAAAGCGGTGTATCTTGATCGGAACACGTGAAACAATTCAATAATGTTCGGGTGTTTTAGAGATTTCATGATCTTCACTTCTCTGGCAACAAGTGAGGCGTTCTTCTTCTTCTCATTTCTAAGCACTTTTATAGCCACACAGGTTACAGTAGGAACGTGCAAGGCCAGTTTTACCAAGGAAAAGTGTCCCTGGCCAAGGGTCATCATCATCTTATAGTCCCTCATGAAGGACTGCTCAGAGGAGTAGCAGGCCTTCCTGCCCTGCACCATGGTCGGGTCCTCGGTGATATGTCTAGAACCGAATTCACAAGGGGGACGTTTAAAGAAACTGTTCAAATCAGGCCCAGGAGAATGTCCACAGCTACTCATCCCTGTGTCCTAAAGGAAGACACTCAGACAGTGCAGACAACCTAAGCAGGTGCTTAACGCTCAGGAAGACAAGAAAGCACCATCCACAGCAGTGGACTGTACAATAGAACACCAATGAGGTATGCAGGAACCATCCAGAAACTCAGAGTACAAAACACAGATCACAGAAGCTAAGAGCCACTCATTGGGAAGGTTCATGGTCCTCAATCTGCACCCAACACTGACAGAGATGGGGCACTAGTAAAACCAGAAGCAAGAGCAGTCGCCAAGACAACAGACACTTGAAAACCCAGAGTGTCCGTGTGGGGAGATGGCTCAGGAAAATTCATTCAGAGAGGAGGCAGCCTCTGATTACACTGGGATGTGTGACAAAATGCTCTGTTCATTGAAACCCCAGGGCCTGGAGTAACATCTTTGGGTCTATAGATGGCATAATTCAACACATAATACCCATTAGGCCTGAGACTTCTCACCAAATTCCATGCTCCCAGAGGCAGTAGACTCATATATTCAAATGGTCAAGAAAATATTTGTTTGCCAGAACCCTAAGATAACATGTGGAAGATGGAGCCATACCTTGACGCCCTAGGTCCTTCCTCTCTCAAACAAAATTCCTTAGTTTTGTCACTTAAAAACAATAGAAATTGGTTCCTTGTGTATCTGGACATTGGCAAGATAAGATCAAGTACCTGGGGTCTGAGTATGTAACAGGACTGCATTCTAATTAGAATTGGTTGTATTGTCTCATGATCAAGGAAAAGCATGAATTCAGTCTATGAAGCTTTTTCTTAAAGGCCACATGTTCTTCTGTGTGACAATCTCTAGTGGTCCTGAGTCCCAATTTGTTAATACAGTTCTCTTAGGATTGAAGTTTTTATTACGGACATTGCAGGACACAGACACGTATTTACACACACACACATACACACACAATGGCAACAATCAGACATGATCCAACTAGCTATGCCCACCCTGAGGAGAGTCCTTCACGGTCAGCTGATGCATCTTGTATAGGAGCTCAATGGGACAGCCAGCAACCTAGAGTCTGTGTTCATAAAAGTAACCTTGGATCAGAGTGTGGAGGCAACAACAGTTGATAGGAATTAGCTATAGGGAGGATGGGGAAGTCAGGAATAGGGATAAGGAGATGTAACAGAAGGAGCATGGGGCTTCTTAGAGATTCTGCGTCATTTGGTGTGGGATAAGTAGAGAGACACTTTACTTGTTGGGTGTCTGTCCAAATAGGAAGGTCAGCTGATTGCTTCTCAGCCTCTGAGAGTTTGCAGGCTCTCTTTACACTTTCACTTACTATGTTCTTGAATTCTGTTCAGTTGCCCTGTTCCATACATAACATCCAAAGAATGGGATCTGACTCTTTTCTCTGCCCTTGCCAATCATGACCCTGACCTGGCAGGAAGATCCCAAGATAAACACCTAGCAGGAGGCTTTCTGCCAAAGCACAGACACATTGGTGCCCTTCCCTAAGAGACCATCCATTGTGGCCTGTCAGTCCTCTCAACAGTACAGATGACATGGCCTGTACTCAGAAAGTGGCTGAATTAAAAAGGGAAACACTGAGGGACTTGGAGGCAGGAGCAGTGAGATCAGGGGAATGTGGTCCAAGTTTTTGTCCATGTATGCGAATGCCACTGTGAGAATCTTGTATAGTTAATATAAACTGATATTTTTAAAGGGCAAAAGAAGAGATAAGTCCAGATGAAATGACACATTAAATAGAGTAAATTCAGCCAGGCATTGGTGGCACACCCCTTTAATCCCAGCACTCGGGAGTCAGAGGCAGGAGAATCTCTGTGAGTTCGAAGCCATCCTGGTCTACACAGCGAGTTCCAGGACACCCTCCAAAACAATACAGAGAATCCCTGTCTCGAGAAACCAAAAAACAAAACATAGAGTATATTCCAATTAAAAATAAAAATTGCCCCACATTGTACCCCAAAACAAAGAAGAAGGACGGTAGATTTAGTTTAAATTCAGAGAAACAAAATCTCTAAACCCGGAATCTATGAACTAGAGGCCACTCACTGTGTTCAGATTCACCAAGTCAATACTATCCAAGTACAAGTAGCTCACTGATATCTCAGTCTCTATTAATAATCTCCAACCAGCTGCTAACAGCTTCTGCACTAAGGACTGGAGTCAGCCTCAGCCAGAGCTATTAGTGCAGAGGAGTCTGTCATTATGAGGTCACAACAAGAAATGGACCAATGACGGCTCAGCACACCTCACTGGTTTTCTTATATATGAGCCACTACTTCCTGTAGAGCCAACTTTCCTGGGTCCACAAATTTTCCCAAATGATGTCACCTGGTGGGAACTGTGTCCAAACACTTGATTCTTTGTGGGACATTGACACCCAAACCTTAACCAGGATGTGTTTCACTTTTATAATGACACAAAGAATCATGAGAATGACAAAGGGCCCGGCAACATTAGCCCTCCCTTGGTTATGGTTTCTGACAGTCTCAGGGTAGTAGGGGCATAGTGTTTTGCTTTTCTTTTGGAACCTAGCACCCTAGGACAAGGATGTAATAACTCAGTGTCTACACTCAAATTTTTCAGGTTAATTTTCTCTTAAAGACTGATTCCTGGGTTCTATAGGATGACTACATTGGGATGTCGTGGCAAAACACCGTGTACCATTGCACCCTAGGGCCTGGAACAAACATCTGTGGGGGTTAGAGATGACGTCATTCAACACATGATGCCCATTAGGCCTGAGACTTCTCACCAAAGCCCAGGATACCAGGGGCAGTAGCCTGATATGTTCAAAATGGTCAAGAAAATACTTGTCTGCAAGAACCCTAACACAACCCATGTCGGAGATAGAGCCATTTCCTGGCTCCCTAGGTTCTATGATGGCTCAACATACCTCACTTACACATATGTGTCCCCAAGGACATGAAGGCTGGTCTGGTCAGTGGGGCTGAATGGCCCAAGGAGGCTGTTTGCACTCAGTTACCTACTCTATACCTCCTATGACCCACGTCCTCATTCTAGGTTTGGTTTCTCACATTTTCCATAACTTCAAAAACTGTGAAGCCCAATGCTAGTGATCAATATTCAAACACAGGATAATTCATTGCACATTTGACATCTAAACTCTAATACACCCTCTCAAGGTTAATACTTTTATGTGGAATCATTTGAAGTATAACAGGCTACAGATGTCCTTCACTTGGTTATGGACTCTGTGTATGTGCTGCTGTGATAAAACCTCATAACAAAAAACAATTTTAGGAAGACTTATTCCACTTTCACTTCCCAAATATAAGCCACCATAAGTGGAGTCCTGTGACTAAAGGTGTTTGTTACTATACTCAACTAATTCTAGGTGTTTGTTTTGTTGAACCAGGATCTATGTAGTCCAGAATGACCTGGAAGGTGATATGTAACTCAGGCTGGCCTTTAGTTTATGATCCAAAGGTTCACAGTGGAGCCCTAGGACACCACACTGGATTCTAGATTTACTTGTTTATTACTTAACTCCATGTCTCCTATAACCCAACCTGGCCTGTTACTGGAAATGTTTAGCCACCGTGGGGCTGGAAGTTGTGATCTTCCTTATACTTAGAAAGGCAGATCAGAAGTCAAGGCCTAAGGAGTAGAATGATGGTGTCCAAGTGTTAGGATTTCAGCTATGGGCTGCCATGCTCAGCATGGTAACTTTTCCTTTTATCATTATGTCATGATAAGTTTGTTTATATATGTGTGCACATGCATGTTATGGTGTACAAAAGGAAACTAGAGGACAGACTAGAGTCTCTCCTTACTTCAACAATGTCAGCCTATGGTTCTGAACTCCCATTGCCTGACGTGGCAGCAAGCACCTTCATACACTGAGCCACCTGGCTGACCTTCAGGTAGAACTTCCAAGTTTCTTTTATAAAGCTGAGTGTGGTGATACATGTATGTGTTCCTACCACTCAAGAGACAGCGTGCTGCTACTTAGTACAGACTGAAATTGTAGCCCTCTTGCTTAAACATCTTGAGTGGAAGGTTATTTGCCTTATTATTTGACCTATACATTTCTTATTAAAACTGTGTCATTTAGAAGCAACTTCAGACTTTCCAAAGGTTGGAAAGAGGTGAGGGGGAGAAGCCTGGGTCAGGAAAGTGCCTGCTGGGCAAGTGTGAATACTGGAATCCACATTCCTTCCACTATGCTAAAGCTAATGCAGACTGGTAAATCTACGAATCTCACTGGCCTACAGTCTGATATCCCGGTTCACTGAGAGTTCTTGTGTCAAAAGAGAAGGTGGGGAGAGATATGGGAAGACAGCACAGAGATAAACTCTGTCCTCTACACATGGTCATATGGCAGGCGTATGCACTCATATGTTCACCCATGCACACACACCTCCACACACAGTTTTGGCTGGTGGCACATGCCAGAAATCTAAATACTTAGGATGTGGAGTCTAGAAAATCAAGACCACCCTTGACTGCATTTAACTCCAAGAATAGTAACCAAAAAAAAAATTGAAAGACAGATTGAAGAACCCTGGGATATTCGTCTTTAGTTTTCCTCAATGTTTACATTTCTTAGTATTTCTTTTGTATTCCATGAAACATTCCAACATATGTTACAGACATGACCCTTTATGACAAGAACATTGTCTGCAGAACAGTTTACCAGCCCAATGGGCACAGAGACAGTTATTAACCTGAAGTATTTGCTGTGCTGGGTATCAAGTCCAGGGCTGTGGGCATGCAAGACCAGTACTCTGCTGCTGAGCTCCACCCCAGCTTTTGTCTTCAGACAGGCTCTGAGGCTGCGATTGAGTCTTTGCTCCCCTGCTTGAGCTCGACAGAACTGGGCTTGTAGACTTGTACACCTGGCTAGGTGTTGTACCCTTCCCCTATGGGGGTCTGTTGACTGCTTGTTACTAG